GAGGAAGGGCCACAGGAGGAAGAAGAGCAGCGTGGGACCTGAGAGCCCGAGGGTCCAAGGCCGAGCACTAGGTCGCCGTCTCTGCTGTGGAGAGGGAGGGATTCAGGGACCAGCCCATGCTTCCTCACAGCCCTCAGTAGCACCCGGGTTCCAGAACCCCATGGGAGCTTTGCCTCCCAAGCCTGTGAGGACCCTTCCCCAAGTCTGCACCACTAGGAGAAAAGTAGAGGGGAGAAGTAGTAGATTAGAACCCCCCACCCCCAGCACAGTGGGATTCTAATCACAGCACACAGGGAGTAGAAAGTGGTCCCCGTGTGTGCCCTCCTCAGGGCACTCCCAGGTGGCCTGAAAGACTGGAGAAAGAGGCTTCCTGGCTGTCTCCTCTGGGCCACAAAACAGCGACCCTATCCGAAGACTCTTGTAAAGGATGTGCCACACGTGTCATATGAGAACCCTAGACACTCTGATTTTAGTTTCTAAATATTGTCCACTACAAGGAGCCAGGGCTTCTGGGAGAAGTGGTTGATTCCAGGCCTGGGGCAGAGAAGGTGGGAATGAATGTGAGATGACTTGAACCAGAAAGCAGTTGGGGGCCAGCAGGTGGTGTAAGTAGTTAAAGGGGTTGGATCCCACATGACTGACAGTGTGATTTGAATCCCAAACCCAGTGGCTTGAAAAACATGGATACATGTGTGTATGTGCCCAGAAGAGCAGAAGAGAGTAGTGAAGAAGGGATTGCTTTCTCTCTCTCTCTCTCCCCCGTGAGTGCAAATGCCATATAGTAAAACTTAAAAAAAAAAAAAAAAAAAAAAAAAAAAAGAGTTTGTTATACTCTGTCTCTGGCAAGTACATGTGCCCTATGGCAAAAATCTTAAAAAAAAAAAAAGTTATAAGAATATAGGCCTCACCTTGGCCACAGCTGTGCTAGTCTGAGCCTAAAAAAGAGTGATGATTGCACATGATGGGAATACTGTATTTAAAATCCACCGATTCATAATGACATGTAATGGGACCGGCAGTTGGTGTAATGACATGTAAGAAAAAACTGGGAATTTATTACCATTGAGGTAGCTTATTTTAAATAATTATTTACTTAGTTTTATTTATTACTATTTTTTAATTTGACCAAAGAGAGAGAGAGAGGGAAAGTGAGAAAGCAAGCCACCAGGTCTGGGACTCAAACCACGATCAGCCAAATGAGAATCCAGCTTTTTAACCGCCATACCACGTGCTGGTCCAGTGGGCCCTGGCAGCTTTTAAGTCAACTCCTTTCTTTATTAATAGGGACCAGCAGATGGTGTAATGTCTCTGGACTCCCACATAGTCAACTGCAGTCTGAGTCCCAGACCCAAAGGTTTGAAACTCACACTGGGCACATGTATATGCCCAAATCCTGAGAGGAGAATGGAGAAGGGATTATGGCAGCCATCCCCCTGGGGGGTGATTTCTTGCTTTCAGTCTCTCCAGCAAGCACACACACCTAGCAAAAATCTCTCAACAAAATAAATAAACATAAAAGTACTAGTAGATAATTGGGGCCAGCAGGTGGTCTGGTGGTTGGGTCACTGCACTCCCACATGGCTGACTGTGGTTTGAGGACCTGGTGGCTCATTTTCTATCTTTCCCTCTCGTTCTCTTGGGTGAACACATGTGCCCTAAACCAAGTTAAAAAATAATAGACTGCAAAAGGCAGTGTTGTACACTGTAACTATATAAGTGATTAGATGTAAATTAAAGTATAAAAATTAATAATATAAGGCGCCAACAAGTGGCATGATGGTTAAGGCTCAAGACTCCCACATGGCTGACCGTGGTTTGAGTCTTGACATGGTGGCTCACTTTCTCTCTGGTGAGCACATGTGCCTAACAAATTTAAAAATAAAATTAAGTTAATAATTCATTAAAAATAATAATAAATTAGAATTTCTTTTTTTTTCCCCTAGGGAGAGATTTTTTGCTATAGGGTGCATGTGCTCGTCAGAGAGACAGACATAGAGAAAGAAAGCGAAAAATCACCCCGGGAGGAGGGGGTTGGCCACACCACAGTCCCTTTTCTTCCATTCTCTTCTCTGGATCTTGGGCATGTGCAGCAGTCTGCCACAGGGAGTCCAGCAACATAACCATTATGCTATCTGCTGGTCCCAAAAATTCTTTTAAAAAATAGATAAAGAGGGAACCAGCAGTTAGCGTAATGGCTATGTCCCTGGACTCCCACGTAGTCGACCGCGGTTCGTGTCCCGGACCCGGTGGCTTAAAACTGACGCCGGGCGTGTGTGCGTGCGTGCCCAAGATCCCGAGAGGAGAATGGAGGAGAAGGGATTGCGGCGTGACCATCCCCCCTGGGGGGTGATTTCTCGCTTTCTGTCTCTATGTCTCTCTCTGTCTGTCTGTCTGGCGAGCGCACGCTTGAGTGAAAATCTCTCAAAAAAAAAAAAATAGATAAAGAATTAAGCACTTACCTTGACTTTCCATAAGGAAAGCCCAAGATGATCAAGGAAACTACAGAAAAATCATAGCTAATAAATGTAAAAATAATAGTGGAATTTAAAGGTCAACATTTTTCTTTCTTTTTTTTTTTTTTTGAGAGGTTTTTGCTACGAGCGTGTGCACTTGCCAGAGAGACAGACAGAGACAGAGAAACAGACAGTGAGAAATCACCCCCCAGGGGGATGGCCACACCACAATCCCTTCTCCTCCATTCTCCTCTGAGGATCTTGGACATGCACATACACATGCCTGGCGTGAGTTTAAGCCACTGGATCTGGGACTCGAACCACGGTCAACTACATGGAGTTCAGTGACATAGCCATTACACCAACTGCTGGTCCCATAAAGTCAACGTTTTTTGTGCAGCCACTAAATAAATGATTGACTCAGACCAGGGTTATCAATTGTTGAAAACTGGGCAGATAGGACTGACAGAAAACTGGGTAATACCTGCTCAAGAGGAAAACGTAACAATGGTGGGATGGGACCATCACCCATTCATCATCCCAGCAGTCCATGCTACAATCACTAGCGGTGGGACACCCTGATATTATGTCCCCTGATGTGAAGAACATCCCCTCTGTTGTAACTTGGTCCAAAATGTTTACCTTGACTCTGACTTCCAAAGGCCAGTCAATGGTGCAGCAATGAAATGCAACTTGGTGAGGCTGGCCCACATGGATGGAGAGTTTCTGAGTGTGGGTCCTGAGACCTCCCTGAGTACTCCAGGTACACATGTGCCGTGGCTGTCCTCTGGGCCTGGCTGAGGCTGGGTTAACGTGGATCATGGTGTCAAGACACTGCTGGGGGTGCTGTCTGTGTATCTCTCTGTGTCTCTCTTGCTCATGGAATAAATAAAATAAATAAACTAAATATATTAGGTTATCAGGAAAGTCATGATGTATTTTTCTATGCAAAAATGTGTCATGACTTTTCCAACAACTTGATACATAATCTCCAACTCTTAGGCAAGACAACATAATCTCCAACTCTTAGGCAAGAGGAACTAGCCACAAGTAATTGGACATTTGGGTCTGATTACATCTACAGAACCTACTGGCTCAGTCTGGTCAGCAAGTCAACAACAATGACAAGGACTGGTCTAGATTAAAACGGCTTGGGACCAGCAGTTAGCGTAATGGCTATGTCGCTGGACTCCCACGTAGTAGACCGTGGTTTGAGTCCCGGACCCAGTGGCTTAAACTCAGGCCAGGCGCATGTGCGTGCGTGTCCATGATCCCAAGAGGAGAATGGAGAAGGGATTGTGGTATGGCCATCCCCCTGGGGAGTGATTTCTTGCTTTCTGTCTCTTTCTCTTTCTGGTGCACCCTATAGCAAAAACCTCTAAAAAAAAATTTTTTTTTTTTATGGTGTCTATAGTCTACTTTAAAATCAACAGCATTTTTTTTAAATTTTTTTATTTTTATTTTTTGGAGAGTTTTTTTTTTTTTTTTTTTTTGAGAGGTTTTTGCTATAGGGCGTGTGCACTCACCAGACAGAGAGAGACATAGAGACAGAAAGTGAGAAATCACCCCCCAGGGGGGATGGTCACGCCGCAATCCCTTCTCCTCCATTCTCCTCTCGGGATCTTGGGCACGCATGCACACGTGCCCGGCGTGAGTTTTAAGTCACCGGGTCTGGGACACAAACCATGGTTGACTACGTGGGAGTCCAGCGACATAGCCATTACGCTAGCTGCTGGTTCCCGGAGAGGTTTTTTACTATACAGCACGTGCACTCACCAGAGACAAAGAGAGAGACAGAAAAAATAGCAAAAATCTCTCTTAAAAAAGGGATTACATGGGGCCAGCAGGTGGTGTATTAGTTATGATGCTGGACTCCCACAGGTGAACCATGGTTCGAGTCCCAGACCCGGCGGCTTGCTTTTTCACTTTTCTTCTTTCCCTCTCTCTGTCTCTGTGAGTGCATGTGCCCTGTAGCAAATTTAAAAAAATAATAATGATAAACAAAATAAAATAAACAATTATTTTTTAAAGAAAGGGAATTACAATATGATCATGCCCCATCGAGAGGAGCTTTCTCTCTCTGGCAAGCACACAGGCCCTTTGGCAATTAAAAAAAAATATATATATATATATGTATGTATATGTATTTATTTATTTATTTATTTATTGAAGAGGTTTTTGCTATAGGGCACGTGCGCTCGCCAGAGAGAGAGAGATAGAAAGCAAGAAATCACCCCCCAGGGGGGATGGCCATGCCACAATCCCTTCTCCATTCTCCTCTCAGGATCTTGGGCACGCACATGCACCTGGCCCGGGACTCGAACCGTGGTCGACTACATGGGAGCCCAGTGACATAGCCATTATACTAACTGCTGGTCCCTAAAAATATATTTTTTTAATTAGTAAAAGGTAAAAAGTAATAATAGAAGAAATTATGCCTGAGGAGGAGGACTGAGACTGACAAGTTCGCCATTGTAAGTCTGAGGAAATCTGCCACCATGGCTCACGTCCACTGTTGTGTGAGTCAGGGGTCATCCCACAGAGCCTCCACATCCAGGACTCAGCCCTCACATTCCAGGCTTCTCAAGATCAGACCCACTCAGAGTTAATGGTGGGCTCTAGCTTTGCGCTCACAGCTCCATCACTTCATGATAACAACAAAGGATCCCTTTGGAGAAGGCCTTCCTGCCTGGGAGACACTTGAGAAACACCCAGGCATTATCTAATCCTCACAGCAGGTCAGGGAGTTTCTCCCAGGCTGTGTGCCCCCAGGCAAACTATACCCTCAGAGCCTTAGTTTCCTCTTCTGCAAAAGCTGGAAAGAAACTGCATGGCAGAGGGTGTCGGGGCTTAAGTAAGAGAATGCACGTACAGTCTGCCACACAGCAGGGGCTCCGGCATGGCGGCAGGAGCCCAGGTATAAGGGGCAGTGGAGGGAGGGAGCATGAAAGAGCTCTGGGAATAGAAGTCCTGACAAAGGGGCAACGGGGACTGCCACCCCAATGTGAAGAGCAGACAGCATGGCCCTTCCCGCTCCCGAGGCCAGTCCTCATGCTCAATGTCCCTTCAGGCCAAGGGAGGCGGAGGAGGAAAGGAGGCCCTTGCAACCCCTCTGCCTGAGCAGAGGCACTGTAGGCCCAGGACCTCCTTGCCCACATGAGTGGGGCTGTCGTCTGATGAGAAACACGGGCAGATGGAGGTGTAGGGACAGACATGGAAGTGGCTGGACAAACCACTCTGTAATAGACACAGAGTTCTGTCCAGTCTTGCTCTGGGCCTTCAAGTGGGGAAGGGAAGACTCACCTGCGTAGGGGGCTGGGGCAAGCTCTCCAGGCTCTGCAGTCTCCCCTGGACGTCCCGCATGCTCTCCTGCAGTGCCCGAACTGTCCCCACCAACCACATGTCCAATTCCTGGGGCCCCAGCAGGCTGCCCTCCAGCCTCCCTGTGGAGCACAGACACAGAGGAGGGGACTCAGGAGGCAATTCGGGAGAGGGGACAGGCAAGACAGGACGCGTCAGAGTAAAACACGACCCTGTGTGCAGTATGTGACTTGCCGAGTCCATCCATGTGATTGACTGATGGGCTTTGGATTCCAGCATTGCCACCTATTAGCTGTGTGACTTTAGGCAAGGCATTAACTTCTCTGAGCCTCATTCTGTCATCTAAAAACTAGAATATGTCATTTCCTTCACAAGGCTGCTTGCTCAGAGGAATAAAGAAAACAACCTTTATGGGGCCAGCAGGTGGACTCCCTCATGGCTGACTGTGGTTAGGATCCTAGACCTGGTGGCTTGCTTTCTCTTTCTCTCTCTCTCTCCTTCTCTGGTCAAACTTAAATAAATAAATAAAGGGATAAAGTAATTCTGAAAAAGAAAAAGAAAAGAAAAAATAACATTGATAAAAGTGCCCCCTCACGGGACTTGGCAAACAGGATGTTCTAGGGAATAAGGTAGAACACATGGCTGTCCTCCAGGATGCCAAATGAGGGACCCAGAAAGAAAGGATGACTTTTCAAGGCTATGTCACTGCAGGTGACAAAGCTGGGGTGGGACTCCCACCCCAGGAGTCCTTACTCGGCACCTGCAGAGGGTGCCGACTACTGGGTGGCCCCAAGGGAGAGGCAGGGCAGGGACTTTGCCCATCCAGACACTATCTGGCTGTTGGGCAACCCTTCCTGGACAGTGGCCGGCGGTGGACTTCCACCTCTGACCTAAGAAGGCAGCCAAGGGGACCCCTGGGGCACCACGGGGAAGGGCAGAAGGGGGCAAAGGACCAGGCTGGAGCTCACCTTTCTCTGTGGGGGACGTTGGGCTGTTTCTGGTATCAGGATCTTCTGCAGGTGATTCCCTCTGCTCTGCCCAAACCTGCTGAGATGAGTCATAGGTCTGAGGGTGGGAGCTGGAGCAGGCAGGGCTTAGTGGGGGGAAAGGAGGGTGGGAGGTGGGGACTGGAGCAGACAGGGCATAGTGGGGGGAAGGAGGGTGGGAGGTGGGGGTTGGAGCAGACAGAACTTAGTGGGGGACAGGGGGGTGGGAAGTGGGGGCTGGAGCAGACAGGGCATAGTGGGGGGAAAGAGGGGTGGGAGGTGGGGGCTGGCACAGACAGGGCTTAGTTGGGGGCAGGGAAGTGGGGATGGTCTCACCAGCTCAGGCTCCAGCTGCTCCAGGGAATCACAGAAAACCTCAGCGTCCAGGTCCCGGGGTGGCTGGGACTCTGGTGGGGCCACTGTGGACAAGGAGGCTGTGGAGACAGGGCCACGCAACTGGGCAGAGGCAGCTGTTCAGGAGATGGTAGAGACACTCCCATGGCAGACAAGGGTGGGCCCCAGAAGTGCGGCCCTGGAGCGGGACCGCAGAACCTGCTCCCAGAGTTCAGGTGAGCTGGTCTCAGTGTCAGTGACATGGTGCATGAAGCCTTCTCCCTCCTGGAGGTGCCCCTCAACCTGGCCCCCTGTCCTCCCTGCCCAAGCACTAACCTGGGCTTAGGGATGCTGGTTCCTTAGGGAGGCAGGGAGGCTTTGGGACAGCTCCAACCTCTCCATTCAGCACCTGTTCTTTCCGACCTGCTGAGACACAGCACGAGGTGGGGCTGGGAAGAGGCTGGTGGCTCCTGGTGAGACCCAGCCCTTGCTCACCACTGGTCATGGGCACTGCCTGAGACCCGCATGCACTGGTTGGGGTCCTTACAGGGCTGTTACCGGGAGCACTCTGCCCCAGCCCCCCACAAATGAACAGTCTCCACAGCCTAGACTCAGCAATGGGGAGCTCCCACCCTGGGGGGCTGACCTGTGACCCTTCTCAGGAAGGCTTCTGGGGGCCTCGGCATGTCAGGGATCACCTGGTACAGGGGCTCGAAGTACCCAAACATGTCCTCTGCCACCTCGCCCAGGGGTACTGTGTCGATCACCTGTGGGGAGGGGCAACTACTGGGGAGGGGCGGGCCCCAACCCCCACCTGCCCCCTGCCGCTTTGGGCTAGGCCCCCTCCACTCCACTCTTGTCTGTCATGATACCTCCATCCTGCTCCCAGTCAGGGACCAGAGACAGGCAGGACTGAGGCAACAGGAAGGTGGGGATTCTCATGGGGTCTCAATGAGCAGGACAGACCATGGCGGTCAGCACGGTAATGGTGAGGGGCAGGCCACCGTGTGGCTGGGAGCTTGGGGACGGGGACCCCACAGCCCTGCCCTACCTTCTGTGCTACCAGCTTCATCTCAGTGATGTAGGCAGACATGGCCTCCTCCCTGCTCATCTTGCCCAGGCTGTTCCAGGCCTCCCTGGAGGACAGAGGGCTGTGAGAGGGCTGCTGGACAGCTGAGGCCTGCTTGCCCAGCCAGAGGGAGCTCACCACTTGTAGCGTCCGATGGGGTCCCAGAACCCAGGTCGGGGCACCAGGCAGGGCCCCATAGTAGCCTGCTTGTAGTAGCTGTAGAATCGCAGCATCTCTTCGTAGGAGGGGCGGTAAGAGCCTGGGGAAGGGATTGGCAGTGGAGGGCGGAGCATCAGCCCCACGCCCATGAGGAGGGAGGTGAGGGGTGGACGACCCTTGGAGGGCGCCGAGATGATGAGGGGGTGCCATTCAGGGCACCTGGGCAGGGGCAGGAGGCAGAGCAGACCCCAGGACAGCCCGTACAGGGGCTTGTCTGCAACAGCTGCAGTTATGAGGGGGTCAGAGCCCAACCGTCTGGACCCCCAGATGTGGGTGGCGCAGCCTCACCGTTCTTAGGCAGGTTCTGAATGACGCTGACTGCGGCCTGGAACTGTTTCTGGCAGTCCGGCTCTGGGCTTTCACTCTCGGTGCCCATGTCACTCCAAGCCTGGGGACCTACTTGCGACCGACTCTGCAAGAACGAGGCTCCGTGTGGGCAGGCCGCTAGAGTCCACCTGGTCCCACGCACCCTAAGCCATGAAGTCACTTCCCAGAGGAGCAAACTTAGCTCTTTGCAGGCCTGAGAGAGCTACCCCAAGGGAACAGAAGTTGCAGCTAAAGAGACTGTTCTACCTCAAGGCAGCCTGGGTGGGGCCGGGGCAGCGAGGACCTCGGTCGGTGGATGAAGCAGGTGGCGAGGGTCGCAGTGCCAGATAGACCCCCAGATGTGCGTCTCTAAGTGCATATCTCCAACTTCTGGACAGGCGAATGGGCAAGAGAGGAGGAGTCAAGGCGGGGCAAACAAGTCTCCCACCCTGGCCCCCTGCACCCCAAACCTGCACTTACCCCGCGGGGTCCGCTGTCGGGATACCTGGGATCCATCTCGCCACTAAAACAGCAGCTTCCGATTGACCTCAGGGTCCAGTCCGGTCGGGATGCGGACGCAGAGCGAAGGGGCAAATTTAAGCCAATGAGAGGACCCGTTTCACATTGGCTTCTAATCCAACCACTCAGCGCGGCTCTTTCAAGACTATGTAAATAGATTCTCAGAGCCTCTCCCAGTCAGGCGGAGCTAACCCACGGGTCGGACTCCCCACCCTGGGACTGTCGAGGTGCCACAGCGCCCCCTCGTGGACATAGCGAAAGGTCGCGGAATACTCGCGCCCCCTGGTGGAAACCCGAGTCTGTCTACTGAGTCCGGGCCTGGCAGATTCCGGCCACCTAACTCAGCTCTTCAGACTGGCGCTAGGGATAAGAAGAGTTGTGTCCTCTAGAGGAGGGACATGGGAGCTGAGTTGCAGAAGACTCAAGAGCAAGCCAGGAGAAGAACGAGGAGGATTACATCAGGAGGAAGGAATCATAGAGTCAAAAGTACAAAGGCGAAGAGTTGATTTTCATGAAGAAAATCCAGGACGCCAGATGGGTGGAGGACTCAAGCCAGTTTGCAAAATCTCGCGACTGGAGATACCTTGAGAATGAGGGGCAAGCGGGAGGCAATGAGAATCAAAGCTCTCCGTGGGGATGTCCCACTGTTGGGTGCCGCCCAGTGGCGGTGTGCCCTAGCTCTCCACCCCTCCCCAGGGCACCTGCTGCAGACAGCGTGCCACCTGGACGTCCCACGCTTCGCGCACACGCTCTGGTGATGTCACATATAGTAAATGCACACCTGACACGGCCATTAGAAGTCGGATGCAGAGGCTCACCCACGGGTTGACGTCACGGACACATATACAGCATGCAGCGGCGGTCCCGGGACCATAGCGTGCTGGACTAAGATACCAACCTGTCCAAGCCTCGAACCCCAGAACTAGTTGTCTGGCACTCTAGACTTAGCGCCACCTCATTCCGTCTAGACCGGCAGCTTCGAGGCTTCTATTATTGAGGGGGCGACCCGCCCGGCGCGGGGTGTGGTGTGTGTTAATCCTATTACGTCACTGTCAGAGCCTGTTCCCCCACCCCCAGGGGCCCCACCCCTCGGGTTCGCGCAGCCGGGCTGTGCTGCTCCGCTGCCTGGGTTCAGTGGGCTTTCCTGGCCCGAGGGCTCAGCCCAGGACGAGCGGTGCTGCACATCCCTGCTCTTTCTGGGTCTCTGCTGGGGCTTCCCGGCGGGAGGGGAAAGGGGAGGTGGAGTAGGGTCCTGCGTTTGCATTCAGTCGGGATCCCCGGGAAGGCAAGGGTGTCAGCGGACAGTCCTCACCCTCTCCAGTGGGGCTGAGATCCGAGGATCGCTAGGGCAATGGGGAGGGGGACTCACGGGCTGGGGCAGGGGACCCAGGAGCAGGGGCGATCGGGAGTGCCCCCAGCCGCCTCGCACCTCCCCAGTGCAGCCCTGGCCCCGCCCCCTCTCTCCAGTCCCTGCCTCCCAGAACCTCGTCCCTCCCCGTCGCCCTCCTCCCGACGCAGCCTCCTCCCGACTCCGTCCCGGCGCCGCTAAGTTTCTTAGCTCGGGACCGCGCACGGAGCCGGGGCCGGGCCGGAGCGGCGCCCCCGCTGGCCCGAGGAGTCCCCGGTGCCGGCCCAGGTCGCAGCGCCGGTCGCCCTCCCGCCCCCGCCTGCGTCCCCGGACGGCGGTATGAAGAGGCCCGGGCTGAGGGAGCTGAAGAAAATGGGTCAGTGATGGCCTGGGGGGCCTGGGGTGGGCGCCGACTGTCCTCGGGGGGCGCAGCCTGGGAGGACTAGGTGTTTCGACAAGCCCTTCATACCCTCCCCCAGGCTGCATGGGGCTGGGGAGGCTGTGGCGAGGTCTCGAGGGCCAGCACCGTCCCAGCAGGGGTCACACCTGGGGTCACCCGATTTTACGTCCTGGCTCCCAGAAGTCCTTTGTTTCCCACCAGGAGGCGCCCGCGGGGTGTGCTGGAGTGTGAATTTGGGCAAGGGGCGGATTGGGGTCCCTGAAGGCAGGCAGAATGGAGCCAGGCAGAAAGGTCTGGTGCCCGGTGGCCGTCTCCCTAACACCTTCTGGGCTCCGCGGGCGCCCCGAGCACCCTGAGTTCTTGGCGGCCCTAAGGAGGGGGCCTGAGAGCTGTTTGCGGCTGGCCTGGGTGGAAGCAGCTGGCTCCGGAGCCACCCCTCCACCCGCGTCCCCGCAGGGGCAGCAGCGGCTAACCCCCCCCCGGCAAACCGGGCGGGGCCCCTGAGA